TACGGAGAATGGTCGCACTGCGCAGCTTTCTGAGTGCCTTTTAAAAGGAGATAGAAAACTCCGCCATTTTGAACCCGTATTACGTGTTGCCTACATCTTGGCGCAATATTTTTAATAGTTGCGTTTTAATCATCCGCTTCTGCTTCGGAATTGTTAGTTTTCTTGTTTTAATCTGACAGGTTAAAACGACTAAACCGACAATTCCGGAAGCAGAAGCAGATGATTAAAACGCACCTGATATTTTGCTTGCTGCTGTCAATGTCAGTGAATATTATTTTTGAAGTCACAGTTTATTGCTAAAGAATCAGTTAGCTCACTCGGACCAGTTGAAAGTTCCAAAATAACATCCACTCCAGGGATACAAATTCAGGATACGCAGAACACTGCTGTTTTATTGTAGGCGGTTGTCATATATTGTATTATCCGAGTTGCACAGTGTATAAACTGAAACATTGAGATCAAAAGTGCCGACTCAGAGTGAGCGATCTGATTTAGCTGTAAACTGTGTCACAGGGTTCAAAATGGCCGCGCCCTATGTTGGGCGTGTCGGACCTCTCTCTTGCCTCGTATAGTAATCAAAGTATGTGATATCAGTAAAATAGAAATATTTCAAAATCTTGAGACAAACATTACAGTAATACTTCTATAGCATTTTTGGGTCACTTTATTTATAGTAAAGGCCTCTACATTTTCCGTTGCCATTTCTTCTTATAAAATATTTATGATTTTAAACACTACACTGATACTACAGAAGGGCCATATATTATAATTAATCAGACTTACCCCTTAGGTGGGTATATCGTGAGAAAAAAACTAAAACTACATCACGTCCATGGAGGAAGGATAATCACGTCAGCAAATCTGACAATGTTTGGTTGGTTATGTGTCATATTCTTCTTTTTTTTATTAGTGGCCTTCATCGTTTAGAGTATTTGACCAAGGTATCATGAATAAAAAAATATTCCTCACAATCTAACTTACCGTGTAACAAAGACTTACGTTCGACGATAGGCTAGATTATGAGTGGAGCCAATAAGACACTATTAGGTAATTTTTACTACCAACTACCAATACTTACTAGGCGCATACTTTTGACTTTTAGAATCATTCTTTTGTCCTTTTCTTGTCTACATTATAGGAAAACTATACATACTTATTTTATCTATGAAGATAAAGATAATTTGATCTCGGTGGTTTGATTTTTTTTATTAATTGAAAATAAGTTTGCATGATTTAAAGTTACATTCCGGAGTTCTAAGTTCAAGTTATATGTACTTTCACTCGTCATCGGTACCAGCCACCAAATCATTTTAATTTAGGTCCACTTACGATTCCATGTAAATCTTCTGTTAGATATCTTGGGGTAATAATCAAAAATTATCCTGGAAAGATCACATTAATCATCTCGTTAAAAAAAGTGAGAATGCTATAAATATACTTAGAGCCTTTTCAAATACCAAATGGGGAGCGGATCCAAACATAGCCCTGATATTCTATAAAGCTCTCATCCGTTCAGTGCTTGACTATGGATGTGTACTATATGGAAATGCTAGTTTGAGTCAACTACAAAAAGTGGAAGTGATTAAAAATAAAAGTTTACGATTATGCCTAGGAACTTTACAAAGTACTCCTGTAAATGTATTAGAAGTAGAAGCAGCAGAACCGCCACTAGAGATTAGAAGAGAATATTTAAGCAATATTTTTGTATCAAAATTACTGTCTCAAAACCGTACTAGAGAGCTGCAAGAACTAGAAGCTAAAATAAATTATCCATATTGGAGACGTAAGAAGAAACCTCTATTAATATCAAGTTTACAACGACTAAATAATGTTCAGACCTTCCTTTATAAAAACAACAAACTTCCTTGTTATAACATAGAATATAACCTTCTTGATCTTCAACTACAACTTTACTACTTTCAGTCAGAACACGTGCAATGCCGGAACATCATAAACCACATTACTAACAATACCATAAGTACCAGATGGCCAAACACAGAATATATTTATACAGATGGATCAAAAATTGAAGACAAGACTGGATGCGCTTTATACCATTCCAACGACAATGTATCACGTATGTTTAAATTACCATCTCAAATGTCCATTTACACGGCAGCACTTATAGCAGTATTAGAAGCATTAAAATACGCCATTAATCATGATAAATCAAATTTCGTAATTTTAACAGACAGCAAAAGTGCTATTGATTCTTTAAAAAATATACAAATTTCAAGTACATTACCAGTAGTAATAATGAAGATTTTAGAAACAGCTAGAATTCTCCTAACTATGAGGAAGACCTTTTCTTTGGTTTGGATCAAAGGCCATCAAGGTATCATAGGTAATGAAAAAGCAGACCAGTTTGCAAAATTAGCTACAAACTCTGGAATACTATTAGATGAACCACTAATGCCATCCTCGGATTTAAAATCTTTTTTTAAGAAAAAACAATTAGAAAGCTGGCAAGAATTATATTCCAACTCAATATTAGGAGTACGGTTTCGAGAGATAAATCCCAAAATTAGTAGAAAGCCATGGTTTATTGATATTTCAAATCGCCATATGATTAAAACTATAAATAGAATAAGATGTAAACATGGGTTATATCCTGAACACAAATTTAAGATAGGTTTGGCAGATTCCCCATTCTGTAGTTGTAGGCAATTGGTTAATTTACAGCATTTAATCTTTAGCTGTCCTAATTTTCAAAATCTAAATGAAGAATTTTACAAGAACCTGCAATTAACAGGAGCAACACTCCCCACCAACTTAGATGCGCTTTTATGTTCAAAAAATATAAAACTGTACTATGTTATATATGAACATTTGAAAAAAATGAATCAAGATATTTAAAAAAAAAATACAGATATAATATTAAAAAAAAAAAATAATAATAATAAAAACAAAACAACAAAAAAAAAGAAAAACAAAAAAAAAAAAAAAACAAAAAAAAAACAAAAACAAAAAAAAACTAAAACAAAAAAAAACAAGAAAAAAAAAATAAAAAAAGAAAAAAATATATATATAAAAAAAAAAGAATTCGTCGCCTAAAATATAATTATGTATAATTAATTGTATCACAACTGTTTTAACTGTTGTTTAATTGTTAATATGATGAAAATTTTGTACTTTTAATAGATTTTAGGTTCCTTCATTATTAATTATTGTATTGTTGTAATTTGTGAAAATTGTAAGTAGGTTTAGATTCGTTTTAATAACATTAGCTCTGGCCAATTGATCTGAGATCAAGGCCATCATACAAAACACACACACACAAGTTCAAGTTTTTGTTTAATTTAAGTCTTTATAAACTAAACAAAGGATGATTCTGTAGACTATATCTTCATTTGTACTTATAAATAATAAAACAAAATAGTTAAATATAATATAATATTCTACAGAGATATCTATACAATATGAAAAATGAATATGCAGAGCATATCAAAAATACATATGCCTGGAATATCTTTCTAGAATATAGAATATGAAATATATTCTGTGAACATTCCATAAATATTGCAATATATTTTGGCAAATAGGCAGATTGGTGGTGAAAAAATACCGGTGTTACTTCCGAATATTTCTTTGGTAAAAATGTTCTGTAGCATATGTCGCTGGTGTTAGAAGAATTGGGTTCTTTTGTAGAAATAACTAACGAGTCATATGTAGTAGAAAAAGAAGTGTTTTTAATTTACTATTTTCACTGAAGTAAATACATAGTAGTTGATTCCATTTAGATATAATAATTTTCTTATCTTCACTAAACAGTTTTAAATATTTACAATTTTAGTTCATCACAATTTGATTAACTAATACAGTTGATTTTTTAGTTACCAACTTGAAAACATTTGTTTGTAGAATTTCTTATGCCATAACAATTGTAGAAGAAATAACTTTCACCAGAAAATAAAATGCATTAAACGCTTGTAAAAATGTAGAAAGTAACGTGCCGTCGGCAGAAAGCACCTGGCAAAGACAACTGTGAGCTATGATGGCAAAAAGACAACTGAACTCGATGGCAATAAGACAACTACTGAATGATGGCAAACATACAACTGAACTGCTCGCGTCGAGCTCATCCTAATATATACTGTTGGGACGAAATGAGTGTCCGGGGCATAGTTCACGCACCTATTCGGTTTCAACCAATGAAAACATCATGACATAATGAAATACGTCATTTGTGCTTCGTTCACTATGCGCCGGACACTCATTTTGTTCCAATGCACCGCTGTGTACTTGAAAACACAGGTGTTCGACGTTCGGTATTCTGAGAAAAATGCTATTTATAGTTTTATGACTTCACATTATATTAGGGTAAAAAGCAGTCGAACTATTTAAGAATTGTTTATTTATTTAGTAGGTGTAAAATATTAATTTGTTGATGTTTTTACTGGTGAAATTGTAGAATTTAACCAGGTGGCATATGCCAGGAATATAGTGTGCTGTCTGGGTTATTAACAACTGATAGTATTTTTGGTATAATGCATTCAAAATAATATAGGTATATAGCAGCGAATGTTTTAATTTGCAAATTGTTATATAATAATATGTAAAAAATACCTATAATTTTAAGAATGACTTTAGAAAATTTGGGCTTTTTGATTATTTTTATTTATTGCAATGTTTGTTATGTACCATATTTTATTTATCAGGTAAAACATAGGTACAACAGAATATAAGCATTTTTGTTTTATTTTATATAAATGAGTTATTACAATAATAAAACCTAAGCATAATTTTTATTTTCAGTTTTGCTTTTCCATAAATATTTATAAATTCTTTTTTCTTTTTTATTCTACCTAACTACGTACCTAATTTCCTAACTAGTAAACCTCTTAGTTATTCTCAAAAACAGCAATTTTCGCACATTAAATATATTTACCGTTTTATTTTTAAATCTACCGCTTTTTTATGACAAGTTTACCGCTTATGTTGTTCTTGACCTGGCAACACTGTTTGCTCAGTTAGTATGTAGCCAATAACACAACAAAGCTGTCAGCAACCATTTTATTTTTCCTATTATAGGTGTACAGAATTAACAATTTTACCAGTGAACATTATTTAAATTTGAAATCAATATTTCCTTTTTACTACAGCCCAAAAATGGTAACCATATTTTACCCAAAAGATTTAAGTGAGCATAAAAAAACTAGGTACTGCACGTTCAAATTATAGATTAAAACTACCACATATACCCTTTCTCGAACATATCAAAAATACAATTTTAATAAAAAACTATCGATTTTAACATTTTAATCTATAATCCGGCTGTGTATAGATGGTGCTGTAATGCAGGCAACCGCCTAATCAACTTCTTCGATGGTGGGGCCATCTTGGTCGCCAGAAGTGCTATTATAACCGCCAGCACCTCCTCCGCCTCTATGTAATTTCGTCATTATAGGCGAACATATTTTTTGGATTTCTTTGAATTTGTACTCGTACTCGTCTTTTTCCGCTGAAAAGTTGTTGTCCAACCACCTGCAAAGTAATATTCGACTAGAAAAAGTTTAGTATAGTTAATTGTTCTCACCTCATGCAATTATCACATTCGTTCTGCACCTTCCTCTTATCATCAGCGCTCAATTTACTCCCCCCCTCGCTGATAGCCTGTTTGACGCTAAATACGTAACTCTCTAAACTATTCCTGGCCGAAATCTTCTCTCTCTGTCTTTCGTCCTCGTCCTTATACTTTTCGGCTTCCTCCAGCATTCGTTCGATGTCTTTCTGCGACAGACGACCCTTGTCGTTTTTGATTTGGATTTTCTTCGATTTTCCCGAACTGTTTTCCAAAGCGGACACGTTCAGAATGCCGTTGGCGTCTAGGTCGAAGGTGACGTCAATTTTGGGTATGCCTCGGGGTGCCGGGGGAATCCCGCTCAAGTCGAACGTACCTGAAATCATTCAAATATTTTTCTTGGTAATTAACTTTTGTATGAGAGAAAATAGGCTCAATATTGGCCTATGCATATTATTTGTCTTACTTAGCACACCGGAATTGGACAAAAAAATTATCTCTAAAACGAAAATGTTTAGTACAGGATAGTGTTAGAAATTAAAATAATTAACTTAAAAATTATTGTTTTTAAATGATTTAGCACCATGTATACTATAACACCCTGTAACACGTGTTAACATGGTTTTATAACGTTTTATTAAATATCTCGTAAACAATGTTTAAAATGTAATTAATTAAGGAACAAAATAAAGAATGTCTTTAAAGGGGGTAAGGCCTATCACTTCATCGCGTTCGGCTGGTCGAAAGTCAAGTCCCCGCTGTCTCCTGGTCCTGGACACTGCAACAGGCAGACGTGGTATCACAAAGCACGTATCTTCTAGAGACCCCACGCCAATGTTAAACTTTTAAACCAAATTAGCGCCACCTTGTGTTTGGAGCTGAACTAAAATGACAATTGACAGATGGCGGTAAATTCAAATTGTAATTTTTAGGAGTAGGTAGTAGTTTTAAATTAAATTTTAAATGATTTCCACATAAATTATTTTATAAAATAAAGAATGGAACTAGTAAGTTCGAAACTTTTATTTTACAAAATAATTTAGATCGATTATACAAAATTTGAGTAATTAATTTGTTATAAGCAGGGGTCTGTCTGATGTGGAGAGTTGGTTCTGCATAATATTATTAAATAAATATAAGATATATCAATAAATAATAAAATAGAACATTCTTAAAATATGTTTATTAATAACTTAAATATTATTAGATAAAAATAAATACAAATAATAATACATATTTAACGAATACTTACTTGCAGCAAATAGGTATACAATCTCAAATCTTTAAAATACCTTTCAATAATTTAAATACGTCGATTTTAACTGCTGTAAAACATTTTCTTCAACACGCGTTATGAGAGTGGATGAAAATGCTGATTCAGGTATAATGTCTGGGTTAAAAGGAAATATGTCAGTTGCTTTGAATCCGGAGATGATGTTAGCTGGTGTCATCGCTTTTAACCAAACTTTACTAAATATTTCACCAAATCGCATTTTGGTTAAATTTTTCTCAGGTTAAGTCATTAAAAAATTTAAAACTTTCTGATCCCAAAAAGACACATAACTTTTGAAGACTGCTTTATCCATGGGCTGCAGTTCACGTGTGGTGTTAATTAGAAGATAAAAATAAAGACATAATTTTCTGCAGCTTCAACAATACGTATGTCCAGATGTGATTTTGCACCTTCAAATATCAGGAATGTGGGTCCTGTAGTCTTATATAAATGGTGGGATATCTTGCCCCAGGTCATTTCCATATTCCACAACTCACATTTTCAGCGTGTTTAGGCGCTGTCAAGTGGATAGTTTTAACACGTTTCTTGGGTAATACGGTTTGTTGTTTATGAATCTTTCGACGGCAACCTTTCACGTCCATATTGTAAACGTTTCCAGGTCTTTTAGACAATTCCAATTTAATGACGACTTCTTCTAATTACTATGTACTATAAACTGACGCAGGCAAACCATCAAAAGCATGTATTTGTAATTAAAAGAACAAAAAAATACTTAAACGACAATGTATCTTCATAACTAAATTTTATTACTTATGGGGGTTTCGCTCTGCATCTTCGGTATATTTTTTAGAGTATCCAGATAGCACAATGTCGTCTTTAAGACGTCCAGCATAAGACATATGAGACGTCTTTAAGACACCTGGTATTTCCTGAAAGACGTCTTTAAGACGTCTTAGACGTCTTAAAGACGTCTTATTAATGGCTTATATTGGTCTGTAGAGCTTAAAATAAGCCATAAATAAGACATCTTTAAGACGACTTATGAGACACTTTTGGTGGCCATACTCGCGTACATAATAAAATAATCATTAATCCACATTTTTGACTTGGGCTTCTTCTTCTTCTTCTTCTTCTATGTGATTATGGGCTTAATCCGTGGACTATCCACCCAGGTTAAGTTAAGTGGAAAAGCTGCACCCTCGTGCGTCGGACTTTTGTCCTCACTCTTCTACTGCACTTGATAATTAGTTTAAATATTCTTCTGTATTCTTGGCACAGAATATTTTATTTAATTTAGTATTATTTTTAAAGTAGGATGGTCACTTTTACACTAGATATTTAGTGATTATTATTGGACTTCAGGGCTCCCGATTCGGAGACCGCCATTTCAATGTTGCCACGACGATGTCCGAATCGGAAGTCGTTGGCTTGGGCTTGAATGTAATGTTGTCTTTTTCTTCTTCAATTTCAATTTTTGTAGGCCTCAGCTGCCAGAGCTATTCGGCTTAGGGTAATTGTTTTGGTGTTTTTTATACAATAGGTGGATATTTCAAAGAAACTTTTTTTTGTCACAGGGATGCACATCACACCATGTGAGGGTTTGTATTAATCACATTCAAAAAATTTTGTCGCATTATTATTGCTATCAAATATCTAGTCACATCAGACAAAATTCACCTCTCGATGGTCGTTCTTAATAAAGATGTTTACGGAAATATTTACACCCGACTCCCAAGTCTGAGACCGTTAAATTTGATTCTTTAACTGTTTCGTTAAATTTGAATTATGCAAACCGTGCAAGTTTCCGTCCGACTGAAAGATGTTTGTAAGACGTTTTAAAGACGTCTATAAGCTTTCACATTAATATATAGAGTTGGAAAGACGTCTTAAGAACGTCTTTGAGCTCTCACATTAATAAGTCTGAATTATGGCTTTTGGCAGACGTCTTAATAAAACTTCATAGGACATTGAGACCAAACCAAGAATCCCTTGAAACAGTAAATTTGGCAGCATTTGACATCCACGCTTATTATATTTCGTATCGTATTGCACGATAGTGCATAGCGTTTATAAATCCCCTTTCTATAATTTGTTTGAAAGAATTTACAATTTTGCATTCTTGCCCCCCTTTCTAGAAAAAGTTCTGGCGGCGCCCATGCAATCACTACAGTTTTCCCAAGTTTTTTATAAACAAAGTGCACGAAAGACGCTGCTTTGCCAAGAACCTCAATACTGACTAGTTTCACCTATAACGTTTTTATAGTGGTTGTGTTAATTCGATACTTGAGCTGGCAAGGCCATTCTGTGATTCAAGGGATAAATTAATACATTTATGGAGAGTGAAAATATTAGGAGCATGGCAATATTTGGCGCACTTACTTTATTTTTAGTAGTACTAGTCCTTACAGGGTCGCTGCTACTAAATTAAAGTGTTTTGTAATAAAATATCTATAAAAATTCATTTGAATAATTAGTTTTTTAATTATTTAAGAAAGCCAAATCCGGAACAATGGGATAGGTACCCTATTTTATGTAAATATCAATATAAACCATAGATATTATAAAAGCCATTAGGGGCCGGATGGATTTTCCATAAAATTCCAAAAGCAAGACAAAATATCCATTAGTATTATGTAAATTGCGATTCTCGGTATTTTTTAATAATATAGAAATAAGTTGGTAAATAATATAGATATATCCGTTACATTTGCGGCCTACCACCATATTTATTAATTTATGGCCTTTAGAACAGGAATTTCCCAATAATATGACAGTAATAAATATCATTCTCATCTTTGCACATAATGAAATTTTGTCAAAAGAAGTAAAACCTTTATCTGGGTCTTCTATGCTGTACTAAAAATTGCGCCTCAAAAACCTAATTCCGGTGGACTAACTGGGTAAAAGTTACTTGTCAAAAATCTTTACCTAACAAATTATTATCCTTGGTCATGGCCCTTTCTCCTTCGAAAACTTGTATGGTAACGGCCGGTTGGTTATCAGAGTACGTCGTAAACGTCTGCGATTGCTTGCAAGGTATCCTAGAATTCCTGTCGATAATCTTCGACATAACCCCACCCGCGGTCTCGATACCCAAGGACAAAGGAGTAACGTCCACCAAAAGCACATCCTGGATCTTCGAACTGGTATCACCGCTCAATATAGCGGCTTGCACGGCCGCTCCATAGGCCACGGCTTCGTCTGGATTGATGCTCAGATTCAAGGTCTTTCCGTTGAAGTAATTCTGCAAAAGAGACTGGATTTTCGGTATGCGGGTCGAACCTCCCACCAATACGACATCGTGTATATCGCTTTTGGACACCTTAGCGTCGTTCAAGGCTTTTTCTACCGGCTGCAAAGTGCCCTTGAACAAGTCCGAGTTCATTTCCTCGAATCTGGCTCGGGATATTTTCGAGTAAAAATCGATGCCTTCGAATAGAGCGTCTATTTCCAAAGAAGCTTCTGTACTGGAGCTCAGCGTTCGTTTCGCTCTAAAAATATGTAAAAATTGATTATGGGAAAATAAGCCAGACGATCCAAATGTTTTATAATTGTTGTTAGAACGTCTATAAAACATATTTTATAATAATAATAATAATACTCTCCCTAATTCACCCACTTACGAGTGAATTTCAACCCCTGAAGTCGACTGAACGACTTGTGTAGGGGAAGGGACGGCTATTATTATTATTTGCCGTGGCGCTCCGGGGCGACTTAAAGATGATTGATGGTGCCATTTGACTTACAGGTGAGGAAAACCCGGAAAACCTCACCCACCATCATCGAGACGGTAATGTATGGCGAATTTTTTTAATCTGCATGTCATATCAACAGAAATTGAATTTCTATTAATACGCCACACATCAAATCCTAAACCGAACCATGCAATTTAATTAAAAATCCACATGGTCTGGTCTGGGATTCAAAACCCAGCAGTCTCAGACTCATAAACTTGCCTATAAATGAATATAAGCGCGATAGACCGCTACACCATCGTCCCGATAGGAACCTATATTTTCGTATTAAGGTTTATAGAACATTTATACGGCTACTAACGTCTATAAAATATATCTTATAAGAACCCATTTTGGTATTAAGATTTATAGAACATTTATACAGCTACAAATGTCTATAAAATATATCTTATAAGAACCCATTTTGTATTAAGGTTTATAGAACATTTATACAGCTACAAACGTCTATAAAATATACCTTATAAGAACCCATTTTCGTATTAAGGTTTATAGAACATTTATACGGCTACTAACGTCTATAAAATATATCTTATAAGAACCCATTTTGGTATTAAGGTTTATAGAACATTTATACAGCTACAAACGTCTATAAAATATATCTTATAAGAACCCATTTTGTATTAAGGTTTATAGAACATTTATACAGCTACAAACGTCTATAAAATATACCTTATAAGAACCCATTTTCGTATTAAGGTTTATAGAACATTTATACGGCTACTAACGTCTATAAAATATATCTTATAAGAACCCATTTTGGTATTAAGGTTTATAGAACATTTATACAGCTACAAACGTCTATAAAATATATCTTATAAGAACCCATTTTGGTATTAAGGTTTATAGAACATTTATACAGCTACAAACATCTATAAAATATACCTTATAAGAACCCATTTTCGTATCAAGGTTTATAGAACATTTATAAAGCTACAAGCGTCTATAAAATATATCATATAAGAACCCGTTTTCGTATTAAGGTTTATAGAACATTTATACAGCTACAAACGTCTATAAAATATAATATTATAAGCGTTTGTTTATAGAACATTTATACGACAGCTATATGACGTGAAGAAGCCGGTTATCAGCACATTTTAGTTGCTTGTAAAAGTAGTAACAAATCTTAATACGAGTCTTGTTATGTTATGTTGAGAATGGGGTGTTAATACACTGCGACCTAAAAGATCTATTATGCCCCCTTCTGTCGCCACTGCACTAAGGAAATGTCTCAATGTCTATAGCGACCCTTCCAATTCTATTTTCTCAAGGAAGTGTAGGATTTGAAGTGACTTCAAGTTAGGTAAATCTCCGATATCCTCCTAGATATAGTGCCCTTGGATTCTGGAGTGCTACACATTCAGTTAGGATGTGAATGGAGGTTTCGTCCTCCTCCTCACAGAATCTGCACTCACTATCTTCTACTACTCTCAGTTTACTTAGGTGTTCTTTTAGTCGGCAATGCCCGGTAAGGATCCCTGTTACAATACGTAGCCTGTTCTTGCTTAGGCAGATGCAAGCTTCCGATCTTTTCTGGTTATATTCGCCCAGAAGTATCTTGGCCTGTCTCAGCCCCAAGATATTATTCCAATTATCGGCTCTTCTACTACACAATTCTTTTTTAATCTCTCCTAATATTATGTTACTGCTGATACCGCAGAACGGCTCAGGTCCTACAAAGGGTATTTAAGCCCCTTTCCTATCTGCAAACTCGTTACCCTGTACCCCGTTATGTCCCGGGACCCAAGTGAGAGTAACTCTATTTTTCTCGCCTAGCTCATTCAATTGTTCTAGACATCTCCAGACCATTTTTGAGCTGATTACGTAAGAACTCAGCACTTTGATGGCTGCTTGACTATCGGACATGATGATAATCTCTTGTCTATGATAGTTTCTCTCGATGTTAAACTGGATACACTTCTCGATGGCGTGAATTTCCGCCCGGAAGATGCTTTCGGAGTGCTTGGTTCTAGGCCGATACACTCCTATTCCAGTTCCTTCTATGGTTTTGGAACCGTCCGTATACCACTGAATAGCACGTCTTTCGGTTGCAAGCGCGATGGATTCTTGGCTGCAGCCCAGCTCTGTGGTTTTGAAGTTTTTCACAAAACTGTACTTCTTTTGCATTTCATCTCCTGGGGCATGTCCCAGGTATCTTTAGTCCTGAAGCAAGTAGACTTTCGTCTGATTACTCCGTTCCTGATCATTCTATATCGTGTCCTTTTTGCCACATTCTCTATCATCAAATGTAGAGGGGTGAGGTTTAAGATCACCTCCATTGCGGTCGTAGGACAGATTCTCATTGCACCAGTAATGCAAACACAGGCTAGTCTTTGTACTTTTGAGATATTAGCTCTCGTAGTAACTAAACTAGTTCTGTTACTCCAGGCTATAGCCCCGTAAGTGATGATTGGTCTCACTATTGCAGTATACATCCATCGCAGTATATTTGGGTTAGGTACATCCTCATCGTTTACCTGCAATGTTTCTGCATACCATTAGGGCTTTTGTGGCCTTGTTTACTACTTCCTTCTCATGTGTGTTCCAGAGAAGTTTGTTGTCCAGGGTCTTATAACACCCTATAAAAAAATGTAGTTGGATACTTGTTAGAAGCTTGTAGACATTGCTATCAACGGTTATTAAAACATGTATACAATCGCTATGAGACTATTTAATTTGTTTTATAAGAGCTTTTATATTACAAAAGAAATTAAAATTACTAATTGAAGAGTTATTTAAGCATTCTTAGGAATACTTAAGCAATAAAGATTTGTTTTAGATAGATCTTTAGATGGAATACATAGTACAAAAACATAATAAAGTTAGTACAAGAAAAGTGAAATTATTTGTTTGATGTAAGAAATACGTGATACACAACATTTTAATCGCGTACTTAAATCAGGTCAGTACGGAGGCTAGTGAATGAAATATTTTACCTTTCTGCTGCCGTCCTCAACCTCCTTAACGCCCGAGGATTCTTCGACAAATCCTTCTTGAACTTCCTTTTAAATTCGTCTGCGAAATAGTTGACCAAACGGTTGTCGAAATCTTCGCCGCCGAGATGGGTATCCCCTGCGGTGGATTTAACTTCGAACAGTGATCCTTCGTCGATCGTTAGAATGGAAACGTCGAAAGTGCCGCCTCCCAAGTCGAAAATAAGAACGTTGCGTTCTCCTTTGAGGTTCTTGTCCAAGCCGTAGGCGAGCGCCGCCGCCGTGGGTTCGTTTATGATGCGCATGACGTTGATGCCTGAAAAAGAGAGGTTAGAAAACCTCTCGTAAAACGTTTCTACAGTTCTAAGGCTAAGATTCGTCCTTGCATATTGCTTTTTTTTTAGTATAGAGAAAATGTTTCTCTTAGGTAAGAAGGCGTAAAAAGCATTGTTTTTAATATTCCTTATTTATTCTTTTATTAACGAATTTCCAGTAAATATTAAGAACAAAACAAAATTAATTTAATTTGATATTGCTATGTAGCAGGTATATTGTTAAAAGATATAAAATATAATACTTAAATTTTTAAAAAATTAAAAAAGTAAAGAAAAAATTAAAGAAAAAAATTAAAATATATTAAGTAATAAATAAATTCTGAATACCTTCAATAAAATAATGGGTTTTATCCATTTAAACGGAAGTAATTTTTGTGTTTTGAAAATAGGTACAACAAAAACAGTTTGTATAAGATAAAAAATATTTTGTTTACTTTGTATGTGTGTTAGAAATAAAATGAATTAAACATATTTACGCTGCTCTTTTCCAATTAAATACCTGATTAATAACTCATTCGCATTATTTATGCCAAGATTCCGTTTTGAGTAGAATAAATAAATGTCAACAAAATAAAATTCGAAGTCGTGATTCACCGTACTATTTTTAACGGATTTCCTATAATCTGGCTATATTTATTCGTCGTAAGTTTCCTTCATTATATGACCTGGAAAATTTTTAAAAATCAAAATATTTACCAGTGGCATGTCAGTGTTACATAAATTTTGCGAAAAAGTTTATGCCAATAAAGCTTTATATTGTGTACCTATTATTATACCTATACAATCCCTAAAGTTTGCAAACTAACGTCATTCAAATCTTTCATCATGCAATGTGTTCGTAAAATATGGAATAAATTCATTTTTAGCCAAAATATCAAATTTTAAAGGTCGATTATTTAATTTAATAAGTTGCCACATTTAGAACAAAAAGTTTCTATATACAAGGGGATGAACATGTAATTAATTAAATTTTTGCAACTTTTGAGAGTTAGCAACGTTGCGTTAAAATATATTAAGTGGTTATGGAAATATTTAAAAAACTGTATTTTTTTATGAAACTTTCACACCCTGTATTTCGGTAACGAAAAATTTTTGAGACATAGTGAATATAACAAAAATACCTTTATTTTAACTCCAGAATACGCTCCTAAATTTATGTACCGTACTTATCGAACACCCTGTATATTTCAATACATTTTTAATTACAATTTTAAAATTGTAATTTATTTCTCAAATGTGCTTGCCCGTAAATAAATAAATAAACAACAAATATAAAAAACATAAGGTCAACTCGGGAAAGTGCGTATTAGGAGAAGTGCATTTTCCTGCTCTGATGATAATAATAACGGTTCATTTTATGCAGCAGTGGGTATTTTTGTGTGTTCCTTGGATACTTCCTTTTAGTGTAAGTAAAGGGGCTAGGAGAATTCGAGCGCAAACCTTATGTAAATTAACATGGGAAATCGCTAAGGTTCAAAATAGCAATTTTTGTCTCTTTCAAGGTCACTCGTCTTGACGTCACGTGTCATAACGTCACTAGCCAACTGTTGCCAACCTAATAACTTTCCCCCATTTAAATTATTAGCAATATTTGTCCAATCTTTACTTAAATGTCCACACCAGCACTCTACTGTCCAGAGTGAACTACACGTTTTCCATTTAAAAAGCATTGGTGTCCAAGATCCTATGAAGAGAACGCAGTATAGATTAACGTCATACAGAAACATCCTGCGCAGAACGAAAATCCAGAAAGGCCTTAGCGTGTTTCTCGGCTGCTAGTGGTCAGATTTGAACGAGGAAAACGACATTATGTCGAGAACGTGATACACGCTAAGGCCTTTTTGGCTTTACACATGTTTTTTCTATTCAACGTTCATCTATACCACGTTCTCGACATAATGTCGTTTTACTCGTTCAAATCTGACCACTAGCAGCCAAGAAACACGCTAAGGCCTTTCTGGATTTTCGTTCTGCGCAGGATGTTTCTGTTTGACGTTAATCTATACTGCGTTCTCTTCATAATGCCGTTTTTCCCGTTTGAATCGGACCAATAGCAGTGAAGATACACACTAAGGTCCTTTTGGCAATCGCATGTTTTTTCTCTTCAACGTTAATCTACGTCACATCTCCTTCATAGTAGTGCCGTTTGTACTGTCTGAATAGAACCAATAATAACATCCGATGTCTTTTACCAGCGTTATCTTTTTTTTTATGTATACATTATAAAGTAAGAATTTCTTAAAAGTCTACGTGGTGTAGCGATAAAGGTGACGACTGGTAATCGGCAAACCTCTTTGGGTCGGTGGATCGATTCCCCGCGGTTTCAGCTTTTTTTCTTTAATAAATAAAATTAATAATGGTGTATGTTGAGATGCTATGATATCGAATAATGATGTATTTGCTCCGTGCGCGACAGCAGCGCCAATTTGTTTTGGTATTAAAGGACTATTTCTGCCTATACTGACAAATACAATTTTTAATAGAATTCGTAAATAAAAAGAAAATTATGTATAATCATTAAAAATCAATAATAAAATATAGGCAGGCAACAGTATTTACTGGAAAATGTATGAGAAGTTGCCTAAGTCTAATAAGTTGTCATTGAAGAAACCATTTATAATAGCGTGAAATTAAAATTTATAAAAAGGATCGCTACTTATATTTCCATTTTTGTTCTAAAGAAAACATAGAATGAATGATTAAAACTGGTTTCCGATCAGTAAGTCAGAAAATTGCATACCAGCCAAATATTATAATCAACGGCAGAAATCTTAAAATCTAGTCCTTGTTGAATGAACATTTAAGAATAAAGGGATATTAAAGAACATCGTAAAATGATAATTTATTGTTTATTTAAAAACTTTCTGGTTTCTGATGTCTACTATTTCCAGCATTACTGTTATTATCACAAAAATAAAGGTAATTTTTCTTCTTATTGTACACCTGTCCATTTATTTCTTTGATTTAATTTCCACTTTGTTAGTGAAATTTGTTATATAAGTTTTACTGTTTTTTTTTTGCTAGTATTTGTACAATTTTCAACACAGCAACTCCGGTTGCTCATTGTGTTGTTTTTACCTACTTTTTTGAAAAAAAAAGTAAAATGTATACGTGTATTTGATATGCCAAAATTACAAAATATCCCCCTAAATTGCACGAATTATCCGCAGCTAGCGCTAGTATCGCTTTTGCTTCCCTTTCCATGACTTCGCACGGAGCGAATAGTAAGTTGCGGATTAATAAATTAGTTAATAAGTGACTCCATCTAGCGGCAGATGTAGCAGGCTGGCAACAAAGTCTCAAGGTCGAGTAAGGTTAGGTTAGGTTGACAACAGTTGGCTAGTGACGTCATGACACGTGACGTCAAGACGAGTGAACTTGAAAGAGACAAAAATTGCTATTTTGAACCTTAGCGATTTCCCATGTTAATTTACATAAGGTTTGCGCTCGAACTCTCCTAGCCCTTTTACTAGTGTGATAATTAGTTTGGCTACACTGCGTCTCACGTGACCAAGCTTTGTGCATCTGTCAAAACAGTCTCAATTTAGATCTCATTCTACACATGTGGTACTCCGTTTATTGTACTTTTTTTCCATTCTAAAGTGAATTTTTGTTTTTCAAAATATGGTAAGCAGCTTAATTTTAAATCGGTGTTTTTAATTTTTGATATTGTTTTCACAATGTTTATTCATATTAGGGATAAAATTAGCAAATATGCTCTCTCCCCTCCAAAATAGGTTAAGAGGCAACTGCGTTTTTACACGTTTGTCTAATTTTGTTGCTTTTTTTTTAATTATTTTATAAAAGTGCTTCTGTTTTGATTTTTAGAGCCAAAATTACAAAAGAAAAACGAATAAAGGCCAAAGTGCTACCCCTCAAGGCAAACAAAATGCAGTTGATGGCGTAAAATCTAATAGACTGACATTGAAAGAGGCTTCAGAAAGATATTCTATTCCAAAAGCTACCATAACTGACCATGTTAAAAACAGAAGGGGTGTGAAGTCAAAAACATTTGGGAGACCGACAGAAACCGAAGATCAATTGGGTAGACTCATTAAACTAATGGAAAAATACGGCTACGGCTTGTCAAAGAAAAACGTTTTACAACTGGTGAGCGATTACATAATTAAAGAAAAGATCCCAAACCCGTTCAAGAATAACTCCCTGGAGAAGAGTGGTGGTCAGGTTTTAAAAAAAGACAACGATTAAGCATTAAAAAATCGCAAAATGAGGAAGTGGCCCGAAAAAAAGCTCAAGATCCGTTTGTTATATTCAATTATTTTGACCAACTAAAACTAACTTTGGAAGAACTCAATATTGAATCAAAAAATGTTTGGAACCTTGATGAATCGGCATTTAATCACAATCCGTTTAAAACTTAAATAGTAGGAGGAAAAGGACTGCCTGCTACAAGAACTGTTAGTGGCCCTGACAGAGAAAACACCACTTGTAGTGCAACTGGAGACAAGTATTCTCCATTGTTTATTCTCAAAGGAAAAAACGTTTGGAACCAATAGATTCCTAGCGAAGATGAATGATTTCCCGATTCAACTTTTGCCGCTACCCAAAATGGATGGATGGAGTCTTCTGTATTCCTGTATTATTTTGAACATTCCTTTGTAAAAGCAGCAAAGCCGTCCCCTAGTAATCCCGTTCTTTTCATCTACGACGGTCATACAACTCACATTGGTTCAAAATTAGTGGAATCGGCTGCGAAAAACCACGTGACAATTATTTTACCGCCTCCTCATTCAAGCCATTTACTTCAGCCCCTCGATCTGGCAGTTTTCAAGTCCATTAAATCATCGTGGGATGAGTATCTCTGCAAAAGGTTGAGACAACAAATTTTTAAACGATCAATGATAAAAATAGGAGAACTATGGGAAAACTTCGATACGGACATTATTAAAAATGGATTCAGGAAAGCTGGCATCTTTCCGTTTAATAAATATATCATTCCTGAAGAAAATTTTGACCAACT